CTTAGTGTGTGCTGAGTTGTGAAAAGTCGTGGAAAGTGGACTTGAGACTCTGCAGCCCAGTAGGTGTTTCAGGAAGCTTATCATTAGAATAAAAGACAGGCAGCCCTGCCCATGAAAGGTCAAGTGGTTGCCTAGCAAACCTGGTGCCAAGCTTAGCCAGTACCAAGGGCCCGAAGATTTCATTCTCTTTTTAAAAGAAAAACCACTGTGCTCAGCACTGGGCATACAGCTGTGAACCAGGCACACACTGTCTCAAAACCCTGAGTCTCCTTCCAGGTCAGTGAGCAGACAATTACAAAACAGTGAGAGATGATGAGCAGCCAAGTAAGGTTGGTGATAGGAGTGCCGAGTGCTTCTGCCTGAGCTATTTTAGTCTAATCCAACAGTGAGTGGTTCCTGAGTAGAGGCATATGATAAGAAAGATGAGTAAGAAAAAAATTTAAAAATGGAAAGATGAATAAGTAACGCTGTGCAAAATCTAGAAGAATCTGAAGAGGAAGAATGGTTAAATAGTTTAAAAAAAAAAAAGCAAAGTAGAATGGCAGAATGATTGTTTCTTTAGTGGGGCATGGTGACACACAGCTGTAATTCTAGCACTCAGAAAGGTACCAGGCCAGCCTGAAGTACATAGCAAATCCAGCTCAGAAAACAAAATAAACATGTTTATTTCAAGAGGGAAATGTTCTTAAGTTAGGGTGACTTGGAAATAAGAAGGAATGGCTGTGAAATCTTTTAACAAGAGAACTGTTGACATTCTCTTGGGATAAGTCGTTTAAATTCCTTTTAATCAGACATGAGTTGCTAATGTTGGGACTCTGTATTGAGTTAAGAATCGGATCTTCTGACTTTTAGACAGATGTCACTGCCATCCCATAGTTTGTCTCCCAGTTATGTGAGAACTTTATACTGAAGGTCAGAGAAGAGCCACTGGTTTTTCCTTTGTTTATGCTTTTACACAAAGTAAAATTCCTTGTATGGCACCACTCTGGAGATAGGAGGCCTCCATCTTCTAAACCTGTGCTGAAGATTTTGTTAATCAGAACTAAATTTCTGTCTTTGCTTTCAAGTAAACAAGTTCTGAAATTCTCACATGTAAATCATTAGTGTGTAATTAATTCCACAAGAATTCATTGCTCTGATTGGTCCAACTGTGTAACTAACCAGTCACCAAATGGATAGGACTGAGTTGTTGGGATGTACAAGACAGAGCTGCCAGCACCTCCAGGATGATGAAATAAGTTCTCAGTCTACATGTGTACCCTCACAGGAGACTGAAGTGTGGGCAAGCTTTCAATTCATACAGTGTGTGATTTATGGAGGCACGGAGGTCAGGAGTTTATTATACTCAGAATCATAATAACTACTTTGTTTTCCCTTTAGAAATGAAGTGACCAAAGCATGTTGAAAGATAAATGGGTGAGCCATTCTCTGCTATTAAAGATTGAGTATTATTGTGGAGTAGCCAGCCATTCTAAGTGTTGTGGTATTAAATCTGAAGTAGTCTGTAAGCTGAGAGCCCCTCCTTCCCTCTGGGTTTAACATTGCTATTAATCAAATTTTTGGACCTGTGTAGCAGTCGCGTATGAAACAAGCAACTGAAGCAGACAGTTCCTTTAATTTATGGCTTTCTGTGTTTTTCAGACTTGTGAGAGAAGGTCTCCTCCTGTAGACTTGGTTCTGTGGCTCGCATGTCTAGATTTCATTTATGATACTAGAGCAACCAAGTTCAATAGTTGCAAGATTGTCTCATGGCATTGAAAGGAGGAATCTACCTTTTCATGTTTTTAATTTACAAAGTCTTATAAAGTCATTTTGAAACATGAATAATTTCTACTAGAAATAGGTGTTTTTAAAAAAATGTGGCCTGGCAGTGGTGTCACAGGAACCCAGGTGGTGGTGGCACACTTTTAATCCCAGCACTCAGGAGGCAGAGGCAGGCAGATCTCTGTGAGTTCCAGACCAGCCTGGTCTACAAGAGCTACTTCCAGGACAGCCTCCAAAGCCACAGAGAAACCCTGTCTCAGAAAAAAAAAATCTGTATTGGAGGCAGAATATGTGATCATTTTTAAAAATAGAACAATGAAATTATAGAAAGGTTAATAACCTAACTAGGGTAGTGGGGTAAGTGAAGCATGGACATAGAAGTATTAAATAAAATTGTTTTTGAAAGATGTGACATTCCAGCTTAGGTATTAGCTTAGGGTGTGCACTTCGGAGGCTGTAGGAGCTCACCGCCCTCGAGCAGGGCCTGAGCTTCTATGGTGTGTAAAGGGTCTTTAGCAGGACAGCTGTACTGCTCTAATGCACTTGCTCCCCTTTCTTGGTAACATGCTGAAAATTCCTAGAGTGTACTTTGTGGGGTACACAAGCCAGACTGTAGGAGTGTGGGAGGAGCGGGGTTATGCAGTGCATTACCAAAGTATAAAGAGCACTACTTTATTCACTGTTTCCAGGTGTCTACTGCTGTGACCAAACACCATGACCAAAAAGCAAGTTGGGGAGGAAAGGGCTTATTTGACTTACACTTCCACATCACAGTCCATCATCAAAAGGAAGTCAGGACAGGTATTCAAATGGGGCAGGAACCTGGAGGTAGGAGCTGATGCCGAGGGCATGGAGTGCTGTTTATGGAATTGCTCCTCATGATTTGCTCAGCCTGCTTTCTTACAGAACCCAGGACCACCAGACCAGGGATGGCACCATCCATGTGAGCTGTGCCCTCCCACATCAACCAAGAAAATGCCCTACAGCCAGATCTCATGGAGGCAGTTTCTCAATTGGGTTTCTTTCCTCTCAGACAATTCTGGCCTGTGTAAAATTGATGTAAAACTGTTTAGCACACCAAGTGAAGCAAGTTGCAGATGTTCTGGGTTGGTGGGGGAAGGGGGGTGTTGCTTAGGGCTTAGCAGCAGCCTGGATAGTAAAAGCTGTTGCTGGCTTTCAGAAACACTTTACCGGATGAGTCTGCCACCGATTGGCCAATTTTCAGAAGTAGGAAGTTGTTGCTGGTGGTTGGCTTTCAGAAGTGACGTGAACTGTCACTGCTTATTTAAACCTTGGTAAATCAGCATTAACTGGTTAAAGCCAGTTGTGTTTCCAGCTGGATCAACTGGTTCCTTATTTCCGTGATTACTGAAAATACTGATAATTTTTTCAAGGAATTGGGCATTCTCAGAAGCTAACACCCAAATAAACACCACTGGAAATTTAAAACACAAGAAAATCAGACTATATAGGGAATCTGTATATGTATTCGATGGTTGTAGGATGCACTTTCTAATTGGCAGTATTTAATGAAGCAATGGACCTGTTAGAAGTCAGCAGTTATCACATGTGACGTGGCTTGTTCCTGTGGTGAGATAGGTTAGTAAAGTCAGAACAAACGGTATCACTAGTAATGAGACATGTAATTTAAAGGGGTTTACCTCATGAGAATACAGCGTAGGCCATCTAATGTCCCTGACACTCACTGCACCACCATGGCCAGATCTCTTCAGGAATCTTCAAAATCTAAACATACTCATAGGAGTTTTCCATACAAATAAATGTCACTCATCATCTATGCTGCAGGAGGAAGAGTGGGGGTTCCTGACAGTACCAACCACTCAAATCTCTACTTATACAGATCAAAGGAAATCAGTGTCACATGTGGGCTTGTCTGAAAGGTGCAAGGGCTGTAGGCAGGGTTTTACTCCTGTCTGCTATGATGAAGAAAATAGGTTTTTAAGATGCACTAATACTAACTGGATATTTTTAATTATGAAACTAGTAGAAAATTCTTAACACTTTCGTTTATTCATATAAAAACTGAATTTTTCCCCTTCTTCATTCATTCAGTTGCCCTGCAGTGTTTTGACTCCCCTGTGTATTGCTGACACCTTACAATGGAAGCACAGCTAATCGCTGGCATATTTCCCTGCTGCTAAGGATAACTAGCTGATGACCACTTAGGAATCAAGCACATGCTGATACCTTAAGACCAGTAAGCATTTGCTGAAGTAGAAAGGCAGGATAGTGAAACTTGCTGTAATCAACAGTAAGAGGAGAAAATTAGTTCATGGAGTTATGCCAGAAGTTCCAGTCCCTTTTGTATGGAAAAATTCAGCCCCTCCCAGAAAAGACAGCCACACCATTTGAATATCACTTTTGGTTATTTTTAAACATTTATCTCATAGATGCACACTTTTTGTTCTGTTTGTCCCTATTTATTTGATATTTTGTTAATTTGCTAGCAGTGCTGGGGATCGAACCTAGGATGTAGACAAGGCAAAAATGCTCTACCACTGAGCTACACACCAGCCCTAACACATCCCTTAAAGGTGGGGATTTTGGGGGGGGGCTTGGTTTTTGTTTTGTTTGTGGTACAACCCTTGCCTTTGACCCTTTGAACCACTTAGAGCACAGACATCAGATAGGTTTGGTTATTGGCTGGCTCCCTGTGTTTGGGTACACTCTTAAAGAAAGAGGACAGAGTTCCAAATACAGTTTTAGGAGACCCCCCAGGTAGAAATCATAGCCTCTCACCAGGGAGGAATTCGCAGTGAGCTTGAGAGCAAAGATCCTAGAGATACAAAGTAGTGGGGCAGACAGACGCGTTCACCAAAGTTTCCTTTGTTTCTGTTGTGCAGTTCTGGGGACCCATGCTGGGAACTCTGCCCCCCAGTGGGATTCCTCACACAGCCTTGTTTTCTGTAGAACAGCTTTCCAGGTGGGATGGGTACTGTAAACAGCAACATCTGATGCTCCAGGCTGCCTACTCCCTGTGTGAGATTGGGGAATAAAATCTCTCCATTGGGCCTGGCTGTGGTCGTACCAGTCTTTAATCCCAGCACTGGGGAGCCAGAGGCAGGCTGATCCCTGTGACTTCAAGGCCAGCCTGGTCTGCAGAGAGAGTTCCAGGACAGCCTCCAAAACTACACGGAGAAAGTTTGTCCCAGGGGCATAAAAGCTCTTCATTGAGTTCTCAGCCTGCTCTTACCGGGCCTCTCTCTCTTCTTCAGGATGTCTCATGTGCTGCAGTTTGAAGACAAAACCAGGAAAGTGAAAGATGCAAGCATGCAGGACTCGGACACATTTGAGATCTACGACCCTCGGAATCCAGTGAACAAAAGAAGAAGGGAGGAGAGCAAGAAGCTGTTGAGAGAGAAGAAAGAACGAAGGTGAGAGGAGAGTTGTGAGGCAGAGTGGCTGGAAGCCTGCCTGCAGGGAGTGTCTGAGATGGCCAGCCATCGTTCACGGCAGCATGGAGGGCTGTGAAAGTGCATCTGAACCTGTTCTCTGGTTCAGAAACCATATTCTGTTTTGTACATTTGGAATGCTGTAAGCAAATGCTTTTTGTTACTGACAGATTTTCTTTTCCTTAATTGACCTTTTGTATTGTTAAATCAGAAATAAAGTCAGTTTCTTTCCAGTTTAAATGTTAACCACTTGCAGGTTATATAAGCCTGTTTATGCGCCTTCACTGTGAACTGTGAGAGGTCTTCTTGTCTAGACATTTTATAAGTGCTCACAGAAAGAATAAGGGGAACTTCCTTGACACTTTGATATAAAATGAAAATTATAAAATAAAAAACATTAACACTGATGACCCTTTTTGTATATAAACATATAAAAATAGCCAGACCAGTAGGACTCTTGCCTTAATTCCTGAGGAACCCACAGACAAATTAATATTGTCTCTGTCCAGGCCATTGCCTGGGTGTTATGAATGCATTCAGAACAGTAGCACTCTGCTGCTGTGCTCACCAAATACCACACCCTGGTGCTGGGCCACCTGCCACCTTGTGCCCCGTTCAGCAGCACAGCCCCAGGAGCATGTGGAGCACAGGACCCGTAGCACCCGCCAGTGGAACACATCAGGAATTTACCTCTTGATGCAGACGTTTACACTGGGTATTTCTGTTCCCTATTTTTAGTTCTAAAATCTGCTTGCTAGAATTGTACAGCAAGCTAACTTCTGTCACCTAATAAAGCTCCAAAGCCACATCTTCTCAGAAGAAGCAGTGACATCGGTTTCCTCTTCCTCAAGCACCGCTTCTCCATCTGTGACCCCAGGTGCAGCACTGGTAGTCACCGTGAGGATGGAGAAATCCTAGTCCCTGCCTTGCTGCCGCCAGTTACCACCAACACCCCTCCTCTAGACTATCAGTGTCGAGGGTACTTAAAAATGTCATATCCCATGGCCAGAAAGTTAGAATCCTAGGCCTGTGCCCTAAAGAAATTTTCAGACTGTTCAGAATGAGAAGGTGCTAACGTACATTGAAGCATCGTGGAGCAGAGCATGAATATGTCCTGACATAGCCACACTGTGGAATACCTTAGAACAATAAAGACTGCCATACTCTGGGGATGTATCTAAAGGAGCAGTGTTTGCCTAGCATGTACCAGGCCCTGAACCAACTCCTCAGAATGGAAAAAAATAAGTAAACAGAGCTATATTACTGTATCTTAAAAGGAACAAATAAAACCTGATAGATAAAAATTTAAAGCAGATAACAAATCATTTGTATTATTATGGATGTGCACATATGTAAAACAAAAATGTAAAGCTAGTGGTTCCCCTCTGAGGATGAGAAAGGAATACCTGGGGTTGACTTGGCTTTCAGCTAGATAGTAGGCACTCAGGTCTCATCCTTGCACATTTCAGGGTACACAAAACACTCCACTGCCTTTTCTCCACAGTCGTGTCTCAAACCCGAGCTGAGGAAACCAGGGAATCCCTATGTTCACAGGATTTTCTTTTTTTGAATGAGGAAGGAAAAAATTTCAGAGAAAAGAAAGGAGTTATAGAAGTACTCTGGAAAATATCAGTCAACTCAAAAGTTTGGATGATCAAACAGGATTTCGCTGCAGTTATTTTTTATTGGCATGTATTCATCAAACTTAGTAATAGGTTTCATAGAAATTTTTATATCATATCATGTACCATGACCATATCCACGTCTCTCCCCAAATCCCATTCGTCCCAGCAATGGTCTCATTTCTACTTTTGTAGCCTATGTACCTGTACAGTTTTATGTGCTTATATAAAAATTTAGGATCCACAAATGAGAGAAAATGTACTTGTCTTCCTAGGTCTGTCTTATTTTACGTAATATACTCTGCTACTAAATCTATTTTCCTGCAAAGGACATAAATTCAATCTTTATAGCTGATTAAGCCTCACCCTACATCCATACACATTTTCTTTGTTCGTTCGTCCACTGACAGCTAGGCCGAGTCCATGACTTGAGGTTTGTGTCTTTGCAGGCACTGTGAAATGTATTATACCTGAGTCTGTGTGTATTAAAATGGCATCTCTGCCATTCTTTCTTTGATGTGGCCACTTTTACTGATTCAGTATCAGCCCACAGAAGACTACAATTCTCCCTCCAGTGACCAGTCAAAGAATAATGGCAGTTTTAAAAGGCAGTCCATTAATTTTTTATTTTTGAAGTTATAATTTAATTATATCATTTCCCCTCTTCCCTTTCCTCCCTCCAAACCCTCACACATTTCCTTCCTTGCTCTATTTAGAATTCTTTTCAGTAATTGTTATTACATACATAGACACACACACACACACACACACACACACACACACACACACACACACATAACCTGGTCCGTCTGTATAATGTTTTTTGTATATAAGTTTTCAAAGCTGACCATTTGATATTAGATGACCGATTGTGCTCTCCCCTGGGGAAGACAATTTCTTTTACTCTCAGCATTTCTTAGTTCTTTGTACAGGATTGAGGCCTCGGGAGCATACCAACGTCACCACAGTCCACGTTAGCATGTCTGTTTTGTCCCTGTGTAGCTCCTGTTTAGGCAGCCATGTTGGTGTGACTTTATGGTTGTGGCTTCTGACATCACAAGGTGGGCACAACCTCACAGCAAACTCCTGATTCTCTGGCTCTTAGAATCTTTCTGCCCCCTCTTCTGTAAAGTTCCCTGAGCTTTAGGTATGGGAGTGTTTTGTGGATGTATCCATTGGGACTGGACTCCACAACTCTACATTTCTATTGGTTGTGTTTTTCTGTAACGATCTCTGTTAGTTACAAAGAGTCCTCAGCATGAGGTGAAGACTGCACTTTATCTGTGGGTATAAGGTCAAATATTTAGAATGTAGTAAGGGATTATGTGGGTTTTCCTCCAATATCCATGACTTCACTAGCCCTGGATAGCTGGCTAGATTTCTAGTACTAGTACTAGGTATGGTTTCCCACTTGTTGAGTGGGTAGTGAGTCCAATTAGAGAACTGTTGGTTACCACAAGGTTATGGGTGCCACTACAGCACTCGGGTTTACAGTACCATGATGGTTCATAGGTCTCATAGCTGGTGGTTGCTTCCCTCCTTTAGAAGCTTGCATGGCACCTTCTGATGCCATGAAAGAAAGGTAATTGACAAAAGTAAGATCTTATTGTAGTTAAAGGTCATCCTATTTTAACTGCAAGAAGCAGAAGATTCTGAAGTGTAGTAGTGATTAGAGTATCGTGGGATACTAAAAAATTCACTAAATTTAACTAAGTCATTTTCAAAAAGAATAGGAAACTAAATTTGGTATAAAATATACTTATAGTCACAGGAAGATGTTTAGGCCAAATAAATGAACTGGAAAAAAAACCCTAAAATAATTGTGAAAACATTAAAAAATAGCCTTACTTTTTATATCTGGGTTTACATTTTGTTTACATGCTTTGGCCAAAGATATTCTCCTGAAACAAAGCAGCCTGTCGGAGTTCTTGTTCTTTGCCTGGGACAATGCTAAAAGAGAAAAACAATGGCGTTTTCTCGATATGGCGAGCTCTGCCTTCCACTTTGGGTGAAGCTGGTTGTAGATAAGTGCTAAAACTCCCCCTTGACTTTTCCTTTCTCAAAGGGTCATTGAAGTTAATGCAGATACGGCTGGGATTTTTAAGGTTACAAAAATGCACATCACCACATGTCCTCAGCTGTGTCTCCTCGGAGGCCACATAGTCAGTAATGCATCTAAAAATGGGACTGTCATTAGAACATGTGAGGGGATGGCTGGCTCACTGCTGTTTTTAGAACTCATTCAGTGAACGATGGCGGGCATCTTTATCATACTGTCACTGCCAGGTTCTTGATAAGATCAGATGTGTGAGGTACATAAACCTGTCGTGTTGTGTCAGTGTGGCCTGTATGAAAAAGGTTAGATAGAAGGAGAATATGGCCAAAACATGCTGTTTTATCTTAGCGATAACAAGAAAGAGAGGGGAGGTGTGAAGTGAGTTACCACTGAGGGTCTTATCAGTGTGAACAATTTGTATATACGGTGTAGATGTTGATGTGGCGAAGTTAAGAGGGGCTACATTCTTCACTGCCATTCACAAACAAGAGTAGGTCTGCCTTCGCCATAGCTGTGACAGCCAACAACCTAGCAGTCCGTCCACTTCCTGGAAAGCTCAGTACAGTTCCCATGATTGCTTCTTTTAGCCTTTTATGGAGAGATGTAACACAGGAACCACACTGTGGAGAAATCCATGCTACATGAAACTCAAATTCTAAGAAAAATGCTAAGACATCGGACCTCACTAGGATGGTGTTAGAAGCACTGGGTCTCTAGAGAGGATGTTCGCTAACAAGGCCATCACCACCACCTCCCTGACATTCACACCCCTCACCACACCCACAGACCACGTCTGTAACAGCTCCTAAGTCTCTTCAGTCCCTGTGGAGAGGTGTTTTCAGTGGCGTGATGGCAAGCAAGCTCAGAAAGAATTTTCAGCACTTGTCATGGTGTCGCACCATGGCGGTTTCAAGCCCTGATACAGCCCTGATGTGTTAGTGCCCTTGCCATTCGCTTTCATTCTGGCTAATGCCTTTATATATTAACACTCACATTGGTCAGCACTGAAGAACTCACTCTATTGTGACTCCTTTTCTAAATCCACGATCATGCTTTTCTATTTTTCGTGATTACCATCTTATGATTGATTTGTATCTAGATTCTCTGTTGAGGAGGATCTCCAAAGCTTCACTTTGGGTTTTTTTTTTTTCAATTTTTATTTTCTTTTTAAATAGCTTGTTTTACATGTCAATCCCAGTTCCCTCTCCCTCCCCTCTTCCCGCACTCCCCTTCCCCCCCACCCTCCCACCCTATTGCCAAATCCTTCCACATAGGGGATATCAGAGTCTGTCATTTTACTCTGGGTAGGGTCCAGGCACTCCCCTAAGAGTCCAGGCTGAGAGAGCATCCCTCTTTGTGCTATAGGCACACGAAGACTGTTTGTATATCAGGGATAGACACTGATCCACAGCTCAGGGCCCCATAGGTTGCCCAGGCCTTCTCGCTGACACTCACATTTGGGGGGTCCAGATCAGTCCCATGCTGGCCTCCTCACTGTCAGTCTGGGATCCAAGAGCTCTCCCCTGTTCAGATCAGCTGTCTCTGCTGGTTTTGCCAGCCCATTCTTTGCCAATTTGCTCATCACTCCTCTCTCTCTGTCACTGGGTTCCTTGGGTTCAGTTAAGTGATTAATTGTGTGTTTGCCTCTGCTTCCATCAGTCACAGGATGAAGGCTCCCGGATGGTTATAGACATCAAGTTCATTATCAGGAATGGGCATTCGAGATGGT